GTTTATTATCACACTACACAGGGTAGGGTTTTTCTCCCCATAAGCAGAAATAATCAGCACAGTGCAAAAGTTTCCAAGCCCATTTGTGGATTGTGCATGTGTTAAATTGTGAACATACATTCAAGCAGTCAGCAACAAAGGAAGGCTGGCGCTCCATTGTTGCTTTTGTTTTTGTAAAACAATTGCAGGTGGAATGCAAACCCTTTCACAAGTCTGCTGAATTGTGCAGTCACAGTTCCCTCATTTAAAAAAAAAAAAAAAAAAGATTTAATATGAGTTTTAATATAAGCTTTTGTGCAAAAGCTGCAGGTGCATCTCTATATATTTGTAGGTACCTTGGCTTGGGGGGGTGAATCTTGACAAGCATAAGAGAACAGGGGCTCCTGGTGCCGTCCCATCTCCCTGACCATAGGAAACAGCACCCCAGGGAGTCAGGGTAGCCCAGACCTAGTGGGGCAATGGCTTGGGCCAGGACTGAAGTTGGTAGCAGAACACTTATTTTCAGCATCCGACCTCAGCAGCAGTTACTTTGGTTAGACTGCTTCAGGAGTAAGAGTGTCTTGGACATAGTGTGATAAGGGAGGAGGCAGGATTGTTCATATGTACTAGAATCAGCAATACTAAATTTAAGAGAATATCCTGAAAGCACAGAGTACCTATTTAATGTCTCATTTTCTTTGCGGATGTAGGATTTTCTTCTTTTACGTTTTTCAGAGCTAATATTGCCCAAGTAGCTATTGGCAGAGCTGAACTATCTTCCTTCACTTGACCTCCATACTTAAGGAAATGATCATTACTCTTTTTCCTTATGACATCTGACAGCTAACAGTGAGATAATAACCTCAAAAAATGGAGAGATTTCCTATCATTTATTTTGGTTTTTAAAAAAAAAAAAAAAAAAAGCTTTGATCTAAAGTGCATATGTGAGGTAGGGAGGAGACAGGAAGAGGAAGGGGCAGTATTAACTGTAAAGAGTACATGCAGAGTCGGATAACAACTTTGAAATAAATCATATAACCAAACCATAACAGGAAAATYTTTGATAGTCTCAACATTGTATAGATCCACTATGCTTTCCCCAAGCACAGTGGCTTTTCGTTGGTGTTCCTGGAAAGCCTGGGTATGAGATTTCCCTAATGTAGTAGAATGTCAGATATAAATTGCTAAATAACCTCTTTTTCCTCCCTTCCCTTCTTTYCCTACCAGAAACAAAAAGCAAAAGCCTACTACAGAAGAATTTGCAAATAAATAATTTGAAACCAGCAATTTGTGAAGAAAATGAGATATAAAGATATGAACTGGAAACACTTCATTACTTAAAATGAACRTAAGGTCCGGTGGAATAGGACACCTTGTCTTTTAGCAAACATTATYTGCAGTTTCTGTGCAACTATGCAACATAGTTTATTTTTGTCTTAGAGGGACCACATGCCTGGATAATACCTAATTTCATCTTTTTCGCTTCACTAAGAGCTCTTATTTTCAGTCATCTTATGTGATACAGAGAGCAGTGAGTTATTCCGTTTTCAAGAAAATTAGTTATTTTAGCATGGACAAAAACAGTTTGCTTACAGTCTTTTTAAAGCATAAAAAAAAAAAAAGCCTTTTGGCTTATGCACAGAAACAATTTGGATAGAAATTATATATTCCAGCCTTGAGCTCTATAAATCTTGGCCTTTGGTGGTATAAAATAAGTGTCCTTTTAACTATGTGGTTTAATCTAGTACAATAGATTTTATATATKATGGTTCCGGCTCACAATACACTTACACAGAAGTCACCAGCAACATATGCTAAAGTTCAAAATAAAGCAAATAAACATGTGAGCCTAAGCAGTTTTGGAGATTTACTTCTAAAGGACTGCAGTTTCCTGTTGAAATGTGGTATCTAAGACAACTTTTTATGTTTGCCAAGAGTGCTTATAATGTTTTTCCTCCATTCAATGTCAAACAAAGTGAGACTTCCAAGTGCAGCCTGTTTATCACCAGGCTACTTCAATGGCCTATCTCCTTTATCAGGCAACTTTTCATGTCACTTTTAGAAGAATGATGATCTTAGGGACTTCTAGCCTCTGCTTCAGATGTGGCTGTAGTCAGAGAGCATGTTCAAAAAATTAATAGGGGGAAATACGCGTGCACACACATATACACAAACACAGATTTTATAAGCTTTTTTTTCCCATAGGAAATCACTTTAAAAAGATATTCTTATGCCTTTTGCTTGACCAGAAATGACCACATTGTAATCAAAAACGGATGTCCTATAAAAGACATTGGATGCTTTTTCCATCCAAATGAAAGATAAACAGTTAACACTACACAGTATCAGAAGAATAAACAGGCAGCGGTGAGTGATAGACTAGTGATCCCAAAGAGGGTATAATGCACCACTTAAAGAAGTAATGTTCTGTTTCTTTTGGAAGGGTGGCAGGCTTTTTTGTATTATATGATGGATTACTGCATCCATCATCCTGCTACTGTTTAGTGTATTTCTGATTGTAAAACAAATTCCTTTTCAGATCAAATTGCTTTCTAYTTCTGTTGTGTCTATGGGAGATTTTCTTCACTAATAACAAAAAAAAACTTTTCTTTTGTATTCTATACTGGAGTACCTTCAGTGTTCCCATTACATGAGGAAGAAAACACAAAATAAAAACGATATAAAGTTCATAACTTTATAAACATAAACACATAAAGAAGAAGTTAGGGGGCAGGGAAGATTTTAAAGGGAATATGTAGAAAAGATTGTAAGAAAGATGTTTCATGTATAAATGTCTTCAGGTGAAGGTGACAGAAGGCATGATTCATAAATACTCAGGAAATTATGAAGTAGATAAATGATCCAAAGTTACAGGAAAATTTACTTTATCTGAAAAGATGAATATGTAAAATAGACTTCTCACCTCCACTGAAGAGAGTTGAATATGATATTTACATGGAGCATCACAAGTAGCAGCAAAGGCTTCTTTGTCTGGTATGACAGAACTTCACTTGAACCTTGTATTTTATCTATCTGGCATCTCTTTGGAAGAATCTCATAGCAATTAGAGGCATGGCGGGATGGCTCACATGACAGGAATGCCATCATGGATGGCTATGTGTTTTTTAGGAAAGACAGGACAGAAAGGAGAGCAATTAGAATGTACCAAGCTCTGCCTAGGGGAGGATGAAGAGTGAGCTGAGAGCTTACAGGTAAGGATTAAAGGGCAGGCTGATCCTCTGTGGTGGGTGCTTGMTACAGGCCACCTGATCAGGAGGAGGAAGTGGATGAGGCCTTCYACAGGCAGCTGCAARTAGCCTCACAATCCCAGATCCTGATTCTCATGGAGGTCTTCAACCACCCTTAATATCCTCCAGCCAAGTCCCATGCATTCTYATCAGTAAGAAGTCAAGCAAATGAGGCAAGAGACCTGAATGGATGAGCAACGAATTCCTGGCAAAACTCCAAGCAGGAGGCAAAACTCCCAAGGCAAGCCACTTGGGAGGGATATAGCACTGTTACTATTATCAGGGTACATAAGGATGGAATAAGGCTAAGGCACATTCATAATTAAATCTGCCAAGGGATGTTAAGAAGAAGGACTTCTTGAAATACCTGAGTAACAAAAGAGAGACTAGGGAAAATATGGGCCTGCTCCTGGATGGGTTGGGCATCCTGGTGATAAAAGGTACAGAGAAGTCAGAATTACTCAATGCCTTCTGTGCTTCAATCTTTACTGCAACGGCCACCCCTCAGGAATCCCATACGCTGGAGAAAGGAACATCCAGAAGGCCAGTGGTGTCCTGGGGTGCATTAGGAAGAATGTTTCCAGCAGATTGAGGGAGGTGAATCTACTCAGCCCTRGTGAGGCCATATCTGGAAYGCTATGTCCAGTTCTGAGCTCCCCAGTRTAGAGGGGCATGGAGCTGCTGGAGAGAGTCCAGTGTAGGACTACAGAGATGATTARGGGACTGGAACATCACTCTTATGAKGAGAGTCCAAGAGAACTGGGCCTGTTTGGGCCCAAAGACTGAAAGGGGATTTTATCTGTGTATGCAAGTATCTGAAGGGAAGGTGTCAAGACAGAGCCAGACTATTTTTGCTGGGCACAGCAAAAGGACAAGAGAAAATGGTCATAAACTGGAACATAGAAGGTTCCATCTGGATTTGAGGAAAAGCTTATTTACTGTGAGGGTAACAGAGCACTGGAACAGGTTGCCCAGAGAGGTTGTAAAGTCTCCTTCAAAACCCATCTGGATACACTCCTGTGCAACATGCTCTGCATCACACTGCTYGAGCAGATTGGACTTCGCGATCTCCAGAGGTGACTTCCAATCTCAACCATTCTGTGACTTGTAGTGCTATAGGCTTCATTTCCCAACTAATGTAAAATCACTAGTCATCACACTGGTACTTATTATGGCCCTTTAAAGCTTATAAWCTCCAGTTCTAGCCCAATTAAAAAATAGGCTTCTAGATTTTGGGCAACATTTCAATAGATTTTGTTGAAGAGTCTTCAGAATGTTACTAGATAGGAAATAAGAATCTTGCTAAGAAACAAGAAGTGTTCTCAAAATAAAGCTTCCTTTCAGCAAAGCACCATAGCACTTATATGTTTAAGTTAACCCTACCAATTGTTTCACTAGTACATATATTTTTTTCAGGAAAGAAACTTCTGGATTTGAAATATGAAAAAGAAACCARATCTATCCCTGAAAATACATTCCTTTGCTTAAACTTAAAACAAGCTTCTCTTATCTATTCCCACCCAGGTCCATTTACTTTGTAGTCTGCAAGACAGGAACAGCTCCAGAGATGGAACTCTGAGTAGATTTTCTATTTCAGAGTTTACTACTTTATCAGTAAAGTATGGAATGTTTGGTCAGTCTTCAGTTTGCTATTAACCATTCCTTACTATTAGTGAGAAGATATCAGGCTATCTTGAACTGAACCCAGTACAGCCTGAAACCAAACTGAGTTTTTCTAAAAGCTCACCTTATAGTAACAACATTTCCACTTTGTATATTTGAAAATTTTATTTAATAGCCTCAATAGATCAGAATAGTTACATAATAGTTACATCACTGCTTTTAAAAAGGATTGCACACAGATACTCAGTCCATTGAAATACTAGAAAACAGGGATAAGGAAGAAAATGGAGTGTAAAGGAGCTCTGTCCACTGAACTGAGTTGTTTGTAGCAAGTTCTTAGTGAATATGAAGACCTGTCCTCATGCTTTCTGGTAGACTCTAACACACTTGACACCATTCATGTCACATTCCTAGAAGACATAGAAGCAAATTCATTAATTTTCATCAATGTAGAATATGAAAAAAAAGTGGCTACAGCTAAAAATCTCTTAAATGYTACATGTCAGGATACCAGCTAGCTGCATTCAGTGAACAGAAAGCAAAGCTGGACTCACCACCACCAATTGTCCATCCACTAGTTTCCGTGTTATTATGGTCTTCTTGCCATCCCACTCCTGTTCCTGAATCAATGACCCATCATCTTTTAAGCTGACAAGGGTCTGAAAAAAGAACCAAAACGTTAATATTTTACCAATGGCACTTGATAAAGGCTGCTTTCTAGTACCTTATTTCAAAGGAAAAATTCCCACCTCAGCTCACTTAATAAATATTTTGCCATTGACTTCCACAAAGTCATTGATCCTGTTCTTACATTATCTCACTGCATGTTCAGTCACCGCTCTGGCACAAGCCCAGATGARCCTTTGACAGCATGCACAATTTCAATTAACAAGAGCAGACCATGTTCTCTATTCGTCTCTTTGTACATGGGCTTTGAGCTTTTGTGCCCCATTTATCTGATCTTGCAATAACAGATGAGTTGCCAGTGTGTGACCAAAAGAGGAGAATGCTACACAGAAAGCTCTCAAACAAGAAGGTGAAAAGAGACGTATCTGAGGGTTTCTTGGTGTTTAACCTCCTCTGACATGAACATTCTCCCTATGGGAGGCAAGGAAAAGCTCCTTGCCTTATAAAGCTGGAGATTAGGGGCTGTGATTCAAATGCACACTCAACCAGACTCTCTTGTTATGCAAATATGAGGGAATGAGCAGTAAGGTTTACAGTAGGGCTGCCTCTGATTAAACATCAATGGGATTTTTCCATTGACTTCAGATAAACTGGCATTTGGCCTTTCACATGGATTTAGAGACCTGTTAGTTTTATCAGCACAATGCTTATATTATTAGCATCAGCATTTTCCCTCTTGGCAGACTGCTTAATACAGAAAAAAAATCTATTTCAATGAGACTTGTCATGGCAGCTGTCTATCAAACAAATCATGGCTAATATGAACATCAAAACTTTTTTTTTTAAACAATGTTATCTTTGTCTGTGAATCCCCCAAAGGACTGGGTTACTCAGGAGAACATCCATGTACTGACCTGAGTTTTTCGGCCATCTAACGTATTTTCCTCAAATTTCTCACCAAGCTTAAAGCTAAACTGTGAGGTTTTGAAGGTGCTTTCTGTTTTTACAGTGAATGTATCTCCATCCTTAATAATGTAAACATCCGGTTTGGCCATACTTCCCATTTTTCTCATGGCCATACCCACACCTGCAAAGCAAGAGAAACAATATCACAGTCAGTTAAAGTCCAAGGTCAACACAAGAATTCAAAAATCTAATTTCCATTTAATTAGGCACTTGAGAACTAAAGCTCAGGAGCCACAAAGAAAGAGGATATTTTTAATTATCCATTGATGAGGAAGGAGAGGAAAAAAAGCTTTTTGGCAGGGTTATTGTTAGCTCCTCAGGGAACTAAAGTTAAATCTATTTTGCCCTCTAGAGGACTAGTAGCTCTATCAAAATTCAGCACCGTATTTCTACAAAAAATACAAATAAACAATACTTGGACAAAACAAATAAACAAACAAAAATCTCAACTAATATGTTTCCCTTTGACTTCTGAATGCTTTAAAGTTTCTGCAGACAAGTCTTAGCTGACAGATGAATCCACCTGCATATTTATTTCAACTTACTCCAGATATCCTTAGTTCTTCCACTCCTTAGTTCTACACAGACTTTTAAATACCCTGTTTTTTAAATCTCATCCCTCCATCCTGTAAACAAGGTAAGGAATTCCAAATGAGTTTCTTCCTGCCAGCAAAAGCGTTCTCAGTGCACACGCATACGCAAGGACCTTCACAACACAACTCAAAAATGAGCACAGTGATAGTGTCATCTACAGAGATGATCTTCAAAATCCTTCATTAGAAAAGAGCCGCCCGACTTAGGCCCTGTGRGCACTTCCCAAGTGCTTTTCTGGAGTCTTTGATCTCATAGATGAAGATGAATAAGGAGGTGTATGGGCAGCAAGCTGGAATTCACCAAACTGATAGAAACATAGAACCAAGAACATATAAGCAATCAAATGGAGCAGAAAGTGCCACCAAGTAAGTGAATATCTGTGCCCTGCAGCTGGTGCAGTTAGAAAACACTGTTGCATATAGTGTTCCCCTGGAGAGGATAGGTCATTTTGGTGAGGGCTGACTCCACAACATAAAGATAACAATTTAATCAGGGACATAAACGAGAAAAAAACATCCGGATCAAAAATCAATCCTCCTCAATACAGGTTTTCTGACTAGAAATGAAAATTGTCATGGCAACTCCTCCTGCCTCTGCTGGTGCCCAGCACAGAGTATTCAGTGGGTTATTTCATCAGCTACACCTTGGAGTCCAACTAAACAGACAAGAGCCATATGTTTTTTTTCCCTAAGCTGTGCATTTTTCCACATAYAGCAAATAGTAAAATTCAAAATAGTAAAATTCAAAGTAAATATTCTTCTATGCAGACTGAGCAGGATCTGCAGAACCTCACTTGCAGTGCATCTCTCTAGGATCAAAGGCAGAGATTTGTATAGGTAGCCAGCAAGGGTGAGATGTAGTAAAGGACTGGCTTCTGAAGTATGACTTGAGATAAACTCAGTAGTCCAAATTGTAATTGTAAATTAAAAAAGCTTTAAGATTGAGATCTAAAAAATAAAAAAAAAAAAACAGAAGGCAATAAGCTTTCAGCTGCTGCCTACGCATGGGAGGGGCTCAGTGGCTGCAGTTCATAATTTCTACTTTGAGATCGCAGCCTGGGCATGTGCCTCATCCTGGCTCATCAGACGTGGGCAAGGTGGCACCGACACAGGGATGAACCAGGACGAACCTGCAGTCTCACCCGTCCCGCACCAAGGGCTCGTTCTGGAAGGCATCCTCAGATCTCACCTAACACATACACATACACCTCTTGCAAAGGGCATTACAGCCACCACCATCTGCAGACCCTGAGTGCAGCAATGGCTTTTGTGCTCTACATGAAGAATGTGAGASCTGAGGCCCTTGCTCCACCCCCTACAAGGAGATTCAAGACATCACTGCCCACCTTYTGAGAGGCTAACATAGCTCTCCAGAGCAAGCAAAGCACAGAGAATAACTCAAGATTCACTGAACTACATGCAGACACTACAAGGTTTCTGTGGYCTGTTGGCAGGATGCTCAGGGGGAAGAGCAGAACCTGGGCTTTCAGAMTAGGCTCCTCGCATCCATGTAGTCCTTTGAGAGTAACTCAAGGGTACAAAATGAGTTGTGACCTGGCAGTGGGGATAGCGAGACAGGACCAGCCCCTCACAACAAAGGGCACATAGAAATAAATAAAAAATAAAATAATAAATAAAAAATAATAAAAAATAAAAATAAAAATAAAAATAAAAATAAAAATAAAAATAAAATATATAAAGTATAAAAATATAAAAAATATAAAAAATATAAAAAATATAAAAAATATAAAAAATATAAAAAATATAAAAAATATAAAAAATATAAAAAATATAAAAAATATAAAAAAATCACTGCATCCTGGCAATGCAGGTGGCTCTCAGTTCAGCCAGCTCTGGTTCATCCCCATCTGCGGCACGGAGACCCACGATCCGCCCCCCTGGAACCAGCGCCCGTCGGGGCGCAGCTGCCCGCGCCGCGGAGCTTGGGCAGAGCCGCGGCCGCGCACCCGCCGCCGCCTCCTCCTCCTCCTCACCCAGCTCCTTCATGTAGTCCTCGAAGCCCTCGCTGGAGACGAGGCACCACTTGCCCAGGAAGGCGTCC